GGTAGTCTTTTGCCATGATAACACTGCAAGACACATCCTTGTTCACCTGTCCTTTGACACAGGTGCAAGAATTGTGGGAGTAAATTCCTGCAGGGGAAATAGCTGGATCAAACAGAAGTGCCCGTGGATTTCCAAGTTAATCCTTGGTTTAGCAGCCAGAGGCAGAGAAAGAAGTCCACAAGGCAGTGAGAACGATGGAAGAGCGAGTGCCGAGCTCTGTCAGTGAGGATGAGGGAAGGCTGAGTTTGCCCCAGCAACTTGGGAAGATATGGTGGCTCCCCAGGCCCCCAGCCAAGCAGATGGAGGGCTTAATTTTATCTAGATTAGCCCCATAAGAGTTTTTGCAGGAAACTGGATAATAGGATTAGAGGAACAGGAGCTCCTAATGAGCAGAGGCTGCTTTAGAAAACACTGAAGCAGATACAATTTTCCCCTGCCACCATCCTCCATGGGGACAGACCCTGAAAGAGGCTCCCCTAGTTGTCAAAGGCACCCCAGGGCTAGGAGTGTAGCTCAGTGGTATAGCACTTGCCTAGCATAGGCAAGACCTTGGGTTCGATTCCCAGCATGGCAAAAAACAAAAAAAAACCCCAAAGTCACCCCAATTGGGTTTTCACTAGATCCCAGACAAGCCAGAAAAAGGAACATGTTGGGGAGGGGAGCCTCCGAGAATGATAGACCTCACCCTCAAGGGTGGTTGGGAAAACTAAATGAAGCCCAGCACAGAAGGCTGGGCTTAGTGACAGCCTCAGAATGGTGGTGGTGGAGATAAGGGTGAAGAAGGATGGCACCCCAGCAGCCTTAGGGAACAACATACACATACCCAGGCTGGGGGAGTGGCTCAAGAGATAGAGCAGCCAGCCTAGCAAGTGCAAGGCCCTGAGTTCAAACCCCAGTACCGCAAAAAAAAAAAAAAAAAAGGAAGGAGGAAAGAAAGATACATCATACACACTCCCTTTCGGACTCCAACCCTTCACCTAACCGCTTTTAGGAAATGAATGTTCCAGACTTCCCAGTTTGTGAGATGCATGGTGTCAGTACTTTCCAAATCAGTTCAAAGGAAGCTTCCAAGGCCGGGCCCCTCATCCCATTTCTCCGATCATCACATCTGTTTTATGATTTTCCCATAAGTCCCTGAAGAAGGGGACAGCAATAGCAACTCCGCACTGATGGCCGTGCAGGGATCGGTTAAGGGACAGGTCTGGGCTCAGCGACCCCGCGATCAGACTCCATCGCAGGGGAGTCAGCCCCCTCCTAGTCCTAGTGCGGGGAAGGACGAAAGGGACCGGGGACCGCCGCGCACGGTCGCCGGCCCGCGGATCCCGGGCTCCCCGCCTCGGCCGGCGGGTTTCCCCGCGGCTGATTGCAAACAGCCGCCGGCCTCATTAGGAGATGTGTAATTAGCGGCGGCGGAGCCCGGGCCAGCGGGGTAATTACCCGGGGATCCGCCCGCCCCTCCTCCGCAGGCGGCTGCGCCCTCGTGCGGCCCGGCCGGGAGGTGACCGCGCGCTCCGTGGTGCCCATCGGGCCTCGCCATGGGCACCATTATCATCCTACTGCACAAGATCTAGAGCCTGGCTTGTAAGGGACCGACCCGGGACTCCATCCCACGTCTGTCGTCCCTCCATTTCATGACACTAAGTGCACAGTGTAATCACGGGACACGGGTGACACGAGCCTCAAGGACTGGATCGGATGGTTTGGGGTTTGAATTCTGAGCCTGCTCCCTACTGGATTGTGACTCTGGCCCCAAGTGCAACTATAAGGATTAAGGGAAGCCGGGTGACGGTGGCTCACGCTTGTGAGCCTAGTGACTCAGGAGGCAGAGATCAGGAGGATCGCGGTTCAAAGCCAGCCCAGGGAAATAGTTTGCGAGACCCTGTCTTGAAAAACGCTTCACCAAAAAAGGGTTGGTAGAGTGGCTCAAGGTGGAGGCCCAGTAGGAGAGGCCAGTGCCCTGGGGCCAAGTCGGGAACTCTCGGCGCACTACAGGCTTCTGGCGCCCCCTGACGGCCAGAGGAGGCCGCTGGCGACAGTTTCTGAATAACGAGCACCGTCTGGCTAGGGTGAGAGGCACAGCGCTACTTCCTCCCCTTCTTTCCTTATGGTGACCAAAGAGTGGGAGATGAGAAGGCTAAGAACTCATTCCAGATTTTACAAATGATCAGTTGTGAAAGCTGCATGGACCGTACTGGGCCAGCCAAGGCTATGACAATTTTACAGGTAAGAATGGGAACAGGAACCTTACTTCAAGAGTATGCAGCAAAGAAATGAGGATAAGAAGAAAATCTGGAGGCTGGCTCTGGTGGCTCACTCCTGTAATCCCAGCCACTCTCAGGAGGCAAAATCAGGAGGATCAGTTCCAAGGCAATGTGGGCAAATACTTCAAAATATCCTATCTTGGAAAATCCCATCAGAAAAAAGGGCTGGTGGAGTGGCTCAAGGCATAGGCCCTCAGTTCAAACCCTAGTACATTAAAAAAAAAGAAAGACACAAAAAAGGGCAGACATAGCGGATCAAATGGAAGAGCATGTGCCAAGCAAGTGTGAAGTCCCAAGTTCAAATCCTAGAACTACCAAAACAAGAAAATCTAGAAATTATTTTCATATCCATCAAGGAGACACTTAACTGTGGTACATCCAAGCAGTAAATTCTGCACAGGTGAGAAATAATATTTTGGCAAAATGACACATGAAAATATAGTCAAATGTGTCTTAAAATTATGTTGAAGGAAATAAACCAGTCACAAAACAAAAAATGCTATATAATATCTATAAGAATAGACAAAATAAATCGACCATGACAGAAATCAGAACAGTGACTACATCAGTAAGGACTTTGGGAAGAGGGCTTGGAAACATTCTGGAGTAATGAAATGCTCTCTACATCTTAATCTGGATGGCAATCACACAAGTCTACACACAGATAAAGATTCATTGAGTTGTTCACTTAAGAAAATGTCCTTTTTATGCCAGGCACTGGTGGCTCATGCCTGTAATCCTAGCTACTCAGGAGACAGAGATCAGGAGGATCATGGTTCAAAGCCAGCCTGGGCAAGTAGTTTTCGAGACCCTATCTTGAAAAACCCTTCACAAACATAGGGCTGGTGGAGTGGTGGAGTGGCTCAAAGTGAAGGCCTGAGTTCAAGCCCCAGTACTGAAAAAAAAAAATTCTTTTTATGAACACTGTGGAGGTTCCTCAAACAAAATAAAAATAGAACTACCATAGGATCCAGAGATACCACTCCTGGACACATACCCACAGGCATGTAAGTCAGGATCCAACAGAAACATTGCACACCCATGTTTACTGCAGCACTAGTCACAACAAGCAAACTATGGAAGCAACCCAGGTGCCCTACAACTGGTGAGTGGATTAAGAAACGGTGGTATATAATACACAATGCAGTATTATTCAGCCATAAAGAAGAATGAAATTTCTCTTTTGGATGGAACTGGAGATCATCATGTTAAATAAATTAAACCAGATTCAGAAAGACAAAGGTCACATGGTTTCTCTCAAATGTGGAAGAGAGACCTAAAAGACAAACGTATGCACAAATACAAACATGAACATATATACATATGCAAATATATATGTAACTAAAACATGTCTGTAATAGGAGGACTGTTTGAGGAGTCTAGGAGGAGGAAGAGGAAAAGAGAATTAACAGAGGAAGTTAATCTGATTAAAGTACACCATTTTCATGCAGGGGTGAAATACCATGGTGAACTGTCTTTGCACAATGAAAATACACTTTTCAAAAATGAAGGACAGGAATGCAAACCAGGTCATGTTAGGGAACGGGTACCAGGGGGAGGGGAGAGTGAGTGGAGAAGACGGAGGGTAAATGTGTACTGGATATACTCGTATGCAAACAGAACAATGAAACCTGGTGAAAGTGTTTTAAGTGGGGGAGGGGAATGAGGGAGCGTGATGGTGGGAGTGAATTAACCAAGGTAGCTTGTAAGCATATATGGAAATGCCATAATCCAACTATCCAACTCATATATGCTAACAAAAATGTTTTTAAAAAGAAAATGCACTTTTTGTATGGCATACCCCAATGAGATATTTTTAAAGAGATATTCAAGCAAAAGGGAAGAAAAAGTACTCAACAGCATGATTCTATATTCTTGAAAAAAAAAAAAAAAAAGGCAAACCAAGCCAAGTGCTGGTGGCTCACACCTGTAATCCTAGATACTTGGGCTGGGCTGAGATCTGGAGGATCGAGATTTGAGGCCAGCCCAAGTAAGTAGTTTCCAAGATCCCATTTCCAAAATAACCAGAGTGAAATGGACTGGAAGTGTGGCTCAAGCAATAGTGTACCTGTTTTGCAAGTTTGAAGCCCTAAATTCAAACCCCTGTCCCACCAAAACAACAAACAAAAAAACCCCCCCCAAAAAACAGCTTAAAGTAGGGCACAGTTCTCAAACTGTTGTCTCAGAACCCCTTTAGACTCTTATTGATGAGGACTTTTGTTTTTATGGTTTATATAAATATTTACATGGACATTAAAGCTGAGAAATGTTTAAAATAATACACAATTCCAACAGCAGTTAGAGCAACGCTGCCGGCACATACCATGCAACCTCTGGAAAACTTCGCTGTCCTTTCTGAGAACATAAAAAGGGCAAACATCTTAGTATTATAATGAAAGTAATTTTGAAATCAGGGAATCCCTGAGCAGAATCACAGAAATCTCAGTATGCAATACTTTGAGAAAAATGATGGAAGAAAGTAGTCTAAATGACAGTTACTATCTCTAGGTGACGGAATTATAATTTATTTTTATTTGCTTCTTTGTGTTTTTCTGTTTTAAAACAAACAAACCAAAAAAACCCTGGGAGCCAGATATAGGTGTGAACACCTGTAATCCCAGCGCTCAGGAGACTGAGGCAAGAGGGAGCGAAAGTTCTAGGCCAGCCTGGGTTACATACATTTGTTTTTGCAAATAACCAAAAAAAAAAAAAAAAGTTACAAAACACCTACCTCCACCGAAAGGCCCAAACAGTAACAGCTTATTTGGCTATATGGACGAAAAACAGGTCTAACCTGGAAATGAAGGTCCAATTTTCCGAGTGACAGTCGCCAGGCTTCAAGCGCAGTGTTGGCTGAAAGTTCCACACCGCTTGGGGGGAGAACATAAGCGCACACAAAACTGTGTTGCAAGGTCCGGAGGGCACCAGGTGCAGCGCTGCATGCTGCACGATACCGCAAACTGGTGTGGAGCAGAGCCACCCATCACTGACACACGCCACTCAATCCTCTAGCCCCGCCCCCAAACTAAATTTAGGCGTCTCAGAATAACGCATGCGCTCTTCCAAAACTGAGGCAGGCGGGCCTTAGAAGAGACTGACACAGGGATCAACCTCTGAATTTTCTAGCATCGCCCTCTTATCCCGCCTCCCTTTCTGAGTGGCTGCAAGGGAGCAGAAGCTAATTTCCCATTGGTTACAGGCGGGAACCACATCCGGTGTGCGCTCTGGCCCGCCCAGCGGCGGCGGCGGCCATGGTTCGGTTCAAGCATAGGTAAGCAACTTTTCGGCAGCCCCCCAGAGGTCCTGACCTGCGGTCCCCACGGCCCTGGCCTGCATTTACCTCCCTGCCACCTGCCGCAGGTACCTGCTGTGTGAGTTAGTATCTGACGACCCCCGCTGCCGCCTAAGTATAGACGACCGAGTGCTGGGCGGCCTCGTGCGGGACACGATCGCGCGGGTGCACGGGACTTTCGGCGCCGCAGCCTGCTCGATCGGCTTCGCAGGTGCGAGGGCGTGGTGGAACCGGGCGCAAGGCTGGGTAACGAGCGGGAGGTCGGGCTGATTATGAAGTGGAGCCGGGACCTGAAAACACAGGGACTTTGGCCAAGGAATGTCTCCGTACCTGTACTGGGGGTTGGGATTGAATTTAATAGGATAATTGAGGAAACCTGTTAAAAGCACCAGTTCTTTTATCAAAAAAAAAAAGAAAGAAACGTGTCACAATTACCCCCTGAAAAGCCCTTGAGGAGTTGTAAGGTACAGAACACAGGACTGTGTGTTTGGAAATGCAGAATGAGCCAAGGCAGAGACTCTTCCCGACTTCCACCTTTAACCATAGCTCAAACTTGAGTCCTGAAGAATTTAAACACAGATAGGTGTGTAACTCTTCCATCAGTGAGACTCAGCTGGCTGCTAAAAGAAGCTACAAGAGAAGCTCAGTTGCAAAAGACCTGTCATTCGGCAGTAGATTTTAGTATGTCGAGTGAAGATGGAGCCCCTTTCCAGTCCCGTTTATTGAATTAGCTAGTCAGTGACTAGCAGTGTTTTAAATGCTAAATTCATTCACCAGTTGAGCGTTGTCCAAGGCACTGTCCCCTTCCCAAGTGAGTTGTCCTGAAGCTTTTTAACTCTTAGGAACGTTTTTTTACTCAGTGATGCATCCTTACAAGTGGCACATAAGGTTTTGTTTTTAAAAAACCATGCTCCTTCCTGTAAGTCCAGAGTTTTCTGAAATTTTTTTCTGCTTGCTACAGTTCGATACCTCAATGCTTATACTGGGATAGTGCTGCTCCGATGCCGAAAGGAATTCTACCAGCTTGTGTGGTCAGCTCTTCCCTTCATCACGTACTTGGAGAATAAAGGATACCGCTATCCTTGTTTTTTCAACACATTACATGTGGGAGGTATGGTGGTAATGGTGGCATGTCGTATGGTGATTTTCAGTGACAGATTTAGAGATCAATTTGACAGTTGGGTGGGTCTGCTGTCCCACCCAAGGAGATACTTTTCTCCAGCTCTGGAAGAGATCTCACAGGCTGTTGACCACAAACACTCTTTTTTCACATGCTAGGTACAATTAGAACATGTCAGAAGTTCCTGATTCAGTACAACAGGAGACAGCTGTTGATCTTGTTGCAGAACTGCACTGATGAAGGTAAGCAACACTAGGCCAGTGCCCACTGGGCAAGTGACTTGAGCTTCAGTTAGGAGACCACTCCCAAATACAGTTTTCATTCTGCCTGTGCTTTTCTTCAGGAGAGCGGGAAGCTATCCAGAAGGCTGTCACAAAAAGCTGTTTCCTAGATGAAGAGTCAGGTGAGGAGGCTGCTGAAGCACTAGAGTGAACTACTGTTCACTAGAGTGAACAGCAGGCTATATATACGCTGCCCAAGCCTTGTGGGAACAGGACATTTTAGGAGTTAGTGGCAGCAGCAGCAGCTAGAAGTTCTCCAAACTGGATGACAGCCAACCAGAGGCCAAGTGACCAGCTTGAAATGGAGGACTTGCTTAAAAATTAAGTTGTCTTTACCTAGCATCCCCTGGTTAAGTGGTTCTGCAGGCTGTGAATGCTTTGTACATTTTTGTAACTGTTTGGCTGAATAAATGGATTTGTTTTCTTTAGTATACTTCTTACATCACAAGAAGGGCTTACAGAATTCATACTTCGTCAAGTCTTTTTCCCCACCTCCAGCCTTGTCCTTGGAAGGGGAAAGACTCCCTGTGTGGTACTAGATGAATTTTGAAGACTTACCCTTTCACTTTACTGCCCTGTACTCCCAATCCCCAAAATGGACCCTAAGCAAACAAAGTCATCTGGAGTAGAAATATTAGTGAGAAACAGTAGCGAAACTTTAAGAAATCTATAGCCTCAGTACTGATCCAGAGGACTTTACAAATACCAGATTCCTTGTTAATACTTATTTAGGTGACTTGACAAGAAATGCAGCTTTTACCTGGGCATGGTGGTAATCCCAGCACTTAGGAAGTTAATGCAGGATTGTGAATTCCAGGCCAGCCTGGCCTACATAGCAAGACCCTATCTCAAAAATACAAAAGAAAAAAAATGCAGCTTTTGCAGTTTGCAGAAGTAAGGGGTGGCCCTGCCTGACACTATTCAGCCTGGGAGCAGCTGCCAACTATAGGTAATTTTCTGCAGTTCCACCCTTTCCTATTGCTTTATATCTAAAATCGGGTGAGTCCACCACATTTACAGCAGTTAGGAGGAGCAAGAGACTTAATCAAATTTGGTCTGCTACTTCCTTATGACATTTCTAGGATCTGTTTTCCCTATAATTAAAGGATGCTCTCATAATCCCTCATACGTTTCTTAGATTTGTGCTTTTTGCTTCAGTGTGCCTCTTACCTCAGGGCTGGAACACCCTCATTCACCCAGTGACATTCCTGACCCAGGATTTCTCAGAAACAGCAGGTTATAAAGCTGAGCCCAGCTTTAGGCCTGACACCAAAGAATACAATTTTAGCAGTGTTGCTGAAGCTAACAGTAGCTGTTATTTTAACCTAAATTTAACAAGGAACACATTGAACTAGAGGTATGGCTCAAGCAAAGCCTGCTCTACAAATGTGAAGCCCTGAGTTCGAACGTCAGTGCTACCAAAGTAAGTTACATGTCTAGCTGACCTGTAGTGAACTTAAACCAAAAAAGGTCACATTTGCATGTGCAGATTATTATTACACCTTGGACCACTCCAGTCCTTTTTTGTGAAGGTTTTTTTTTTTTTTTTTGAGATAGGGGCTTGTGAACTTGTGAATTTGCCTCAGACTGAATTTGAAGCATGATCCTCCTGAGTAGCTAGGATTACAGGCGTGGGCCACCGGCACCTGGCAAGAGGTCACTTTATTAAGCAGCAGACTCACTCAGTGTCAAATTCAGTTAAAACAGGCATAAAAACTACAGACAAGAGGAAGACAGTAGGCAGCCTTACTATTTATTGTCAACCTGCTCTCCTCCAGGCCTGTTAGATCCCTATTCCTATAACTCAGGCCAGTGTTACTTAAAACAGGCTTTCTTACTGACCATTACAGAATTCCTTATCAAAGCCAAGTTCAAGAGGTACAAGGCAGACACTGATGGCTCACACCTATAATCCTAACTACTTAGGAGGCTAAAGTTGGGAGGACTGAGGTTCGAGGCCAGCTCGGGCAAATAGTTCAAGAGAACCCCATCTCCAAAATAACCAGAGCAAAATAGACTGGAGATGTGGCTCAAGTAGTAGAGCACCCACTTTGCCAGCACAAAGCCCTGAGTTCAAACCCCAGTCCTGTCAAACAAAAGAAACACAACATGCAAGTGCCAAGGACAAACCAACCAACCCATCTAGTTGGCAACCCAGGTTTGGCCACAGCATAGCCATTTGTCAGAAGGAAAACTTCAAGCTAGATGTCCTAAGTCCATTTTATTTCCATTCCTCTATTTCTTTTGACAAGGAGAACTGAATAGGTAGGAAAGACTGAACTACTTTTACAAGACAAACTGATAGGTGTGCCAAGAGACCTAGGTGGACAGGATGCCACAGCAGAGTAGTGCTGTGCCCCGCCGGTTTAGTTGCTGTGAGGGATGCTGAAGATACTTATTTTGGGTTGAGAAAATTAATTACACATGGGTGAAAAGACTAACCTGGCAATAAACTAAAAACCTTGGCGGAAGAGATCTCTTGTGAGTGTCAATACTTTATTTTGGTGTAAAGACAGGAAGCTGGAAAATACACTGTATTTAAAATTTTCTTGGTTTCCCCCTCATTGTGGAAACCCCCTCCCCCCGCCCCAAGCTAATCTGTTCAAACTCAAATAATTAAAAATTACAGCAGCAAAACAAAAGCACAGTGGGGGGAAAAAAAAACAGATGGAGAAGGTAGCCTGGGCAAGTAGTGTCACTTGGTGTGGACGACTGAGGTGCTGAAAAGGAGCTTCTGCTTCTGTTTTTTCCTTTTCTTTCCTCCTTTCTCTTCTAAACAGAAACAGAAAAGTTTGCTTAGCTTACAGTGTCATTCCTTTGTCCCTTGGCCTTTTTATTACTGAGTCAGAGTGTCAGCTAAAAGTGCAGGCTCTGGACTGCCTCAATTCAAACCAAGTCCTTACTTATCCAAAGACAAGCACATTGAGTGTATGCTAAGTCATGTTACCTCCCGGACCTCACTTTCCTCATGTGTAACTTGAGAGTTACACCCATTTAATATGGTTGTTAGGAAAATAAAATTAGCACGATACTGGTGCCGTTCTTGTCTAATCATGAACACTACTACACAGAAGCACTGAGCTTAAGTTTTCCATGTGTAAGCCATCCTTTATCAACATTCTAGCGATAGAAAACCCGCCTAGCAGGCACAAGGTCCTGAGTTCAAACCCAGCTCTGTAGGGAAAAAAGATTCTAAAGTGTAGGCAGGATCTCCATTCCACTATCTTAGAAGAAAAAAAGAGTTCCTCACAATTTCACTTCCAGGCCTCAAGAATTATTCTGGGGATGGTAAACAGTCTTATCTACAATACCAAATAGACAACAATCCTAAAGGCCCACAGGGAAAACAGCCTGAACCAGTGGTGTCTCTTAGCCTAGCCTAGCGGCTCAGAGAGAAAAAAGCCTGATACAGGTAGCAATCAGTATGTGCTAAGTTTAACAGCCCTGTGCTGAGCTCTCCAATTCCTGCCCTTACCAGAGAGGGGATCTGAAGTAGGTGGCGCGTCCAGTTTCATGAAGGCTGCTTCAATAGCTTGGCTGAAAGAATTTTGGAAACTCGGCACAGGAACACGGTCGGAGTTATCACTCTCTCCATCACTGTCCACAGGGGCAGGAGGAACCAAGCTGTTCTCATCTGAAAAAAACACCAGTGTTATATTTCTAGAAACAACTCAAGAGCTTTTACTGACAGGGGTCAAACCTGCCTTTACCAAGCAGGCCTTACTCACCCTTCTTTGGAGCAGTTTTGGGCCACACATCTGCTTTTGCTTTTCCAACCCTCAGCATCTACGAATGTGGCAAGGGGGAGACAAGAATTTAAGCATCAGATCCAGATGCCCTCCTTAATACTGGGCCCAGAGCCAACCATTACCTTTAAAAGATTGTCAGGTACGTCTCTCCTCCATACAGTTTTAGTCACATCTTCTCTATCCTGACCAGCAAAAACATCAGTGCACCCCCCCCACCCCTCCCATCCAGGGTGGTAATGCCTAAAGCAGTTTTGTTCCTTAGGAAATTGCTAAAAGAGTCGGGGATATAGCCTAGCAGTAGAGTATGCAAGGCCCTGGCTTTGATCCCCAGCACAGCCTGGGGGGCAGGGGGCGGAGAGGGGGAAGGACATGGCAGAAATAAGTAAAGAACACTACAGAGACAGTACAAGAGATTCTGAGATTCTTACTCAGTCTTGCAAGTTCAGAATACTGACTTTTTGTGGTACTGGGGTTTGAATTTGGGGTCTCTACCACTTGAGCCATGCCTCCAACATCCTGCCCTTCTTGAGACCCTTAAAAATATCAGCCTGTTGGAATAAACAATGTGCTGCACCAATTTTAAAACCCTATGGCTACTGAACTTCTCTCTAGAATTACTGAGGGCCACTTTTTGAGTCCCATCTGCCAAATATGCTATGCAACTCACAGCAGGGTGTGTTCTATTCCTGGACAAACATCTAAGAGACCAGACCCATGAGATTCAAGCAGAAATGTCTCGTCCTAAAGCACATGTCCCAAAGTGAGGCACATGCATTATTCAAGGTGAGCTGACAGATGTTGGTTTCATCTGTCAAAGTGATACATGATGAACCTTTCTTCATCATATATTACTTTGGTGATCATCTCCCTTGGTCCCTGGGAGTTTGAGTCCAAATAGCATGATACCCAAATCAATTTTTTTTGGGGGGGGAGGGCAAAGGGAGTGCTGGGATCAAATTTAGGGCTAAATCATTTTATTCTTAAAAGGTAATTAAAATAATTACCTATGTTTTAGTCCCACCAGAAATATTAAGTGTTTAACGTGAATCTACTCATGAAGAAACAATCATACAAATCCGAACTGCAGGACATTCTATAAAAAGAACAGGCATGGATGCTTCAAAACTATCCACTTAAGGCAAGAGCAATAGGGGAAAGAAGGCAAGCCAGCAAACCTGGACAGAAGGAATCTAGAGACTTGACAACTAAATGCCTGAACTGAAAGTAAAGGGCATCAAGACAAATGGGCAGGGAGAAGTACCTATTGTACTAGATGTTACATAAATTTCTTCAATGCAACTGTCATGGCTTATAGGAGATGTTCTTTTATTTGAAACATCTCTACTAAACATTTAGTGAAGTATCATGATGTCTGCCAACTTATTTTGTACACAGAAAAAGAAAGCAAATGTAGTAAACACAGTAAGAACTGATGAATCTAGGTGAAAGAATGTTCATAGCACTATTCTTTCAACTCTTTTCAAAATAAAGATGAAAGGAATAAAGCAATGGCAATAAAATCTAGTTTAAAAAAAACAGGACTAGAGATGTGGCTCAAAATGTAGACTGCCTATCTAGCAAGTGCAAATCCCCAAGTCCAAACCCAAGTATTGCAAATAAAATAAAATAAAACCCATCTGTTGAACACAGTAGTACATGCCTCTAATCCCAGCACTTGGGAGGATGAGGCAGGAGGATCTTGAGTTCAAGACCAACCTACCTGGAGATCCTGTCTCAAAACAGCAAAAAACCCTAAGCATTTGGTGTAATTCCTAGGAACCACATGTTTTTGACCTCTGGAGTCTAGTGGTTAATTTTCAGAATTTCCCTCAAATTATTTCATACTCTGTTGACTTTAGGACCTTCCCTACAAAAGTTTAATTCTGCTTATTTCTCAGCATAAACTGCCATTTTTAGGTGAGAAAAATCCATTGTAACCACAGAGTGTCCCCAAATTAGGATAGCCCTACGAGGACTTTTCAACTCTACAATGGTGCAAAGGTGTACCCATACAACAATTCTGTCAATATAACATTCAATAAATTACATATGATATTCAGCACATTATTATATATTAAAGGTTTTGTGTTAGATATGTTAAACGAGATGAACCCTGAATTAGGTCTGGATAATTCAGACCCTTTATTTTTGCTTTGCAAACAGCAAATCTTGATGCAGCCTTTTATCCCACCATGTTTTTAAAAGCCAACTGTGAGCTAATGTACGTATTCTGAGCCTATTTAGAGTAGGGTATGCTAGGCTAACTATGATGCCCTGTAGGTTAGGGATCTCAAATGCATTTTCAACTCACATTTACAACTTATGAGAGGTTTATCAGACATACATCTTTGTAAATTTAAAGTGCATCTGTACTCTAAAGAAACTAAAAGCTGAGAATGGGAGGGAATTCAAGTATAATGTATTTGATACATTGTAAGAACCTGTATAAATGCCACATGTACCCCCCACCTAACACAATAAAGGGAAAAAAAGAAAAAGAAACTAAAAGCTGGGCGCTGGTGGCTTATGCTTGTAATCCTAGCTACTCAGGAGGACTGCAGTTGGAAGCCAGCCTGAGCAAATAGTTTGTGAGATGCCATCTAAAAATTACTCAAAAAAAGACCTGACTGGCAGCGTGGCTCACATGGCAGAACACCTAAAAAAATGTTAAGGGCTGGAGGTATAGCTCAAGCAGTACAGTGACTGCAGTGTACATGTGGAGTGCAATGGATATCTCCCCTGCCACTTCAGTATAATACTGCCTTCTTATAAGCCATCTGTTCATCTTCCTCAGTCATCTGAATGCAGGAATGCTGTTTGCTTGTTTTGGAGACTAAGTGATTTGACATCAAGTCTCACTAAGCTTACCATTTCTTCAATCCCACTCCCCAAGGATGCTGCTTTGGCTAGTTACAGGATAACCAAGATAATCTTTCCCTTCTCAAAGTGAAGAGGAATGGCTTATTCTTTATAACAGAAGTCCTAGAATCAGAGACTAATTAAAACTAACAGTACCCAGCTTATAAAGAATTTTTTTTGGCAGTACTGGGGTTTCAACAGAGGGCTTTGCACTTGCTAGGCAGGAAGTCTTTCACTTGAGTGACACCCCTAGCCCTTTTTGCTTAATTTTTTTTTATTAGGGTCTTGTCCTTATGCCCAGGCCAGCTCGGACTTTGACTCTCCTATTTATGCTTCCCATGTAGCTAGAAACAGGCATGTGCCACCACACCCAGCTTTTATTGGTTAGGATAAGAATATTTTAAACCTTTTGCCTGGGGTTGGCCTCAAACCACATCCTCTTGATCTCTGCCTCCTGAGTAGCTAGGATTACAGTATAAGCCAATATACCCTGTGCCAAGAATCTATTAATATTTTTAAATAATTAAAACTTGTATCAAATTCTCTTGGGCTGTTTCACAAACAAAGAATTTACCTGGGCAAAGGAAGGGAAAGGAGAGTCTTCTTCCAGACTCCCAACGCAGAATGAGGGACTGCCCTGCCCGGCAGTGGGTGACAGAGAGGTCAGCAGAAAGTCTGAAAGGGAACCAGAGACCTAATTATATGAATCAAGTTCCAAAGAGCTAATGTTCTCTTAGAAGAGATGAACCCTGCCGGTTATCAGTGGCTCACACCTGTAATCCTAGCTACTCAAGGAGGCAGAGATCAGGAGGATTGTGGTTCAAAGCCAGCCTGTGCAAATAGTTCACAAGATCTTATCACAAAAAAGGGTTGGTGGAATGGCTCAAAGTGTGGGCCCTGAGTTCAAACCCCAGTATCGCCAAAAAACAAACAAAACAAAACAAAAACCCTGAATGAGATCTAGGTAATTACCAGACCTTTAATTTTTGCCTTGAAAAAAAGCAAATCTTAGCCCAACCTTTAATTCCACCCAATGTTCTTATAAAGCCAAGAACATTACCTATTATATCAGTCATCAGGGGAAAGAGAGAAAAGGCTTCATGGTTACAGTAACAATGAGTGTGATAGAATCTATTCCAACAGCAAGAATAACCCTTTTAAAGGGCTAGAGGTGTGGTTCAACTGGTAGAACCCTCACCTAGCAAACACAAGGCCCTGATTTCAAACTCTAGTACCACATGCTTGTGTGCACACGCACACACAAAAAAAAGGCTGGTGGAGTGGTTCAAGTGGTAGAGTGACTACCTAGCAAGCATGGGATCCTGAGTTCAAGCCCAGTACCACCAAAAGAGATTTTTCTTCAAGAATTAAAAAAAACAATAGCGCTCTTCATATGAAATGCTACACTTTTCACAGAGGCTGGCTCTCAGCACCTGGATATTGTCATACACTGGTTTTATATGGATGAAAAAGCTCTAAGGAAAAAATAAAAGTTAATCAGGTCAGTCTTTATGTTCCAGCCAGCAGATTATCTACAACCTGGGAAGATACACATCAGTAAGATGGAACAAAAAGTTGCAAGCTTTCTTCCGTGGACCTACAGTTAAATGATTTCCATAGATCCATCTATCCCCTGCCAGGTGGAGAGTCTTATTCTTTCTCCCGGTAGCAGGCCCTTCAAGGTCTCTACTACTTTTATTCCCAAGACCACCCAACTGTTCTCACCTAAAAATACATTAGAAACCCATACTTTCAGAAAGCCTAGTAGGGGAAGACACAATCTTTACATCATAGACAACGTATCCAACGATCTGCTGTACGCTTTTATAAAGTGCCTTCCTTCTCAGTTAAGTGGAAGAGCATCAAGGTTGTGCAGTCATCAAGAACTAGGGCCTTAGTTCCAGATCCTGCCCTAAATCCTTGCTCAGCCTCAGGTTCCTAGTCTTATGAAATGACACAGATATGATTACAAGGGTCACCAAGAGCTTTAAATATTCTAATCTTGGACATTTTGTTAAAAGTAACTGACGGAAAAGTCTTAAGTATCAAAAACTATCTGCACTAGAAAGAAAAGAGTTCTCTGAAGTAACAGAGAATAATTCTTTTGTGTTTCATTTCATAACACTGTAATACATTCTCTCCATAAGAAAAAGGTACACATATGTGTATGTATACACACACATTTACATGTATAGAAAAATTTTCTGAAGGTCAAAGGCATCTTTGAATAACCTCTCAACCCTCATCTCTGGAGTGGAACATCACCAGTTTGGAATATACCTGGTCCCAGAATCATTCTATATGCTTAAAATATATAAACCCACAATAAAATACTTCGTGTTTTAGTGATATACTTGGTATTTTTTAATCCACAGATGAAATTTATTCTAACATGTTCTACAACTTCCTTTTATTTTTCCATTAGTTCATGATAATAGCTATTTCCTTAATCAATAGTTGTGAAGTATCTCATAGTATAAATGCTACACTGTTTTTTGGGGGGTTTTTTTTGAGGGGGTGGAACTGGGGTTTGAACTCAGGGCCTTATGCTTGCTAAGCAGGCACTTTTAGTGCTTGAGCCACTCCACCAGCCCCTACTGTTAGGTTTTGTAGGCTTTTTGTTGTTGTTGTTATTTATAAATACTACCACAATAAAGAAATGCATATAAAGATGCACTTAAAAAATATTTCAAATATTAAAAACTAGAAACAAAGAGCAGGGTCACAAGGAAGAATGTAGGTTTACAATTTTACCTAGTGAATGACCTGGAGGTTACTTTTAAAAAACTTTTTTGGCAGTACTGAGGTTTGAACTCAGGCTTCACACTTTCTAGACAGTCAATGGGAAAGGAAAATCAAACATCAGGATTTTGATGCAGTTTAGGACTACCCAAAGTTAAGTTTCATACCACACCATGCCAAGTAGGTCAGAGTGGCTAATCCAGACACCAGGGCTTGCTTAAGGTATAGACAGTGACTGAACTCATTAAATCTCATCTATTTACCTGCATGGGAACCTGGACTTCTGCTAATAGGGGACAGGGAGAGGGCTCCATGGTCCTCGTGCTGGCAGAATCGGAGGAGCAGGTATAGGAATTGAAGGCAGGAAACTGCTGTAGATTCTCTAGGGGAATGTGGACTTCAGGGTCTGCAAAGGAAAGACACTAATTGTATAAATGGGCCTACTATTACTCTTTTTTCAACAGCTGAGGACAGTCAATTAGCACAGATAGCCTCAAAGGTCTGGAGGATACAGACAGAAGTTTTAAAACCCGTATTTAAAGTAACTGTTACAGACACACTGGTGATTCACGCCTGTAATCCTAGCTTCTCTGGAGGCGGCTATCAGGAGGCTCTAGTTCAAAGCCAGCCCTGGCAAATAGTTCAAAATAGGTTTTTTCCCCTATCTCAGAAAAACCCATCACTAAAAAAGGGCTGGCAGACTGACTCAAGTGGTAAGAGTGCCTGCCTAGCAAGTGCAAGGCCCGGAGTTCAAACTCCAATATTGCCAATAAAAGAAAAACCCAAACTGTTATTCTATGATTGATTGATTGATTGATTTATGCATGCATGCATGCACATGGTAGTGGGGCTTGAACTCAGGGCCTACACCTTGAGCCACTCCACCAGTCCTTTTATTGAAGGGTTTTTTGAGATAGAGTCTCTAGAACTATTTTCCTGGGCTGGCTTCAAACTACGATCCTCCTGATCTCTGCCTCCTGAGTAGCTAGGATTACAGGTGTGAGCCACCAGCACCAGGCATGTTTTTGTTTTAATAGAAAAGCCACGCTTGGTGTGGCAGCACACGTCTGTAAATCCCAACACTAGGGAGGCTGAGGCAAAAAGATCAAGAGTTTAAAGACCAGCCTGGCGGAGTGGCTCAAGTGGGTGGAGTTTCTGCTAACTGTGAGGTCCTGAGTTCAAACCTCAGTACCCCTCCCCCCAACACACACACAAAAAAAAGCAGTGGCAGCATTCAAGACCAGTCTGGGCAACACAGCAAGACCCTGTCTCCAAAAAAAACAAAACAAAACAAAAAAAAAAACCACACAACAGGACTAAGCTCATAACTTGTTTTAATTTCCTAATTGAACCTGATAATATGGATGGAAATTATACTGTCCTACTTATCTAAATAGTTTCATAACAAAAACCCTATCTGTCTTTAGCAAGGAGTACAGTGCATCCCTGTAATCTCAACATTTAGACAAAAGAAGGAAGCGCACTTGAACTTAGGAGTTTGAGACTAGCTTGGGCAAAATGGCAACACTCTGTCTAAAAAAAATACATGAAAATTCTTTTCCTGCAACATTTGTTTTCTCAAAGTTTTAGGATGTGCCAAACAGCTACAAAGTGCTGGCAGCCCAGGTACATACTTACCCCGTTGTAAGAAGTAAAATTTATTTTGTTTGCCATAACCTACAGAATCGTAAGCGCCAGATCCTTCTCCTAGCCAGAGACACCAATCTTATTTTCTAGTGGATACCTAAGCCTTCAATCACATCAATCCTCTGGATTCAATGAAGTTTATGCAGGAAGAGTCAGATCTGAAGACTCTGATCTCAAATCTAACTTCCTCTGTTTCCTAGCTTGTCAATGTTTCTACTTCATCTGGCACTTCTTGTGTAGAGCGATGCCCTCAGATAGAGATGATGTCTGCAAGCCACTGAGCACAGGGACAACTGTCCCAGCACTCTCAGCATAGTTCCAATCCCTATTCAGAACAGGTTTTGTCACCCACTATGGCAGGATGAATTTCATCTTCATCTTTACTATGTGCTATTCACACTCTGACCTTATGAACTCATTAAATGCTCAAATAAACCTAGAAAGGAAGTAATCTCATGACTCACAGGGCTAAAGAGTTGAAAAACAAAAGGCATCTAGTTCCTGGGCATGGAGCCTCCACACAATGATGCACCACAGATCTAGTTAAAGATTACAGTCTCTGAACTTACACTTGCCCTGTTTCTTGTTCTCCTCCATTTCAATCCTGCGCTCTCGGCGGCGTTCCTCTCGAGCCTTCTTCTGCCGCTGACGCTTCCTCTTCTCAATGTCATCTGCAAGTCAGTCGAGATATGAGAAGGCAGACCTCAGACCACCTGGCCATTAACTCTTCCCACCTTGCTACTAGCTAAGTCCACACTAGTGGGTCCAATTGGATTAGAAGAATGGGTCAGTGTTTCAGGAGGTACTGACATGGATCCCTACGTCTCCTTCCACACTGGGTTTCTAACCTGAACCCCACCTAAAAGAGAAGCAAAACAGTAGGGGCGTTCTTACCTGAGAATATCTCTAGGGTTTCCTTAGAGACCACAGGAGGCTGCAGAGCCAGTTCACAGATGCTAAACTCACAGGTGAGTGGCAAGTGAGAGAGATACCTATGACGCTGTCTAACATCCTACAACAGAAACAAGACCAACACTCAACTACTCTTGAGAGTAAAGGATTATACAACCCAGATTTCCAACAGTACACACACACTCAGACAGCACTGGTGCTCAAGTTATCAATATTTTGAAAAACCAAACTGTGGTTTAGCCTACAGTAAGGCAGAAAAAGTAACCAAATCCAGATTTTACTGGGCTGTGCTACAAGTGAATAAATTCAGTCTACTAACAAATTATCTAAAGCTAATCACAACTGAGGGGAGACAATAGGGAACATAAAAGTATTTGGGGAAGTAGGGAAATGCCTGGCAGAGCAAATGATAACCAGGAAGGAAGATAAAGAATTAAGTACATGTCCAAACTGCATAAAGCCTGGCCTGAAACAGTGAAAAAGAAAGCCCATCAATTTAAATTTCTATTCTTTTTCTGCCTATGTTTGTTGGAGAGTTGACAGTGCTTAGAATCATTTGAGGCATGTATCAAATTTGTGATCAACAGAGATAATTCCCATAGGGCAAAAATTCACATGTCAATTATCAGATCATAACTAGAGGTATCATAACCTAGCTTAAAGCCTCCAAGGTGTTTGATTTTGGACATTTCTCTTAAGCAGTAACAGAAATAAGAACAAACTTCATCTTGAACAAAAGGAGGAAACTGATATCCCCAAACCACAACAAACGAACCTGAGAAGTAGGTTAATGTAAACAGAATTACTAGAGCTTTAGCACAGTATCTCACTTTAGGAAAAAAAAAAAAAAAAATCAGACTCAGGCTTGAGTGGCTCATTCTGGAAAATCCTATCTCTTGGGAGGCTGAGATCAGGAGAAACTAGGTTTAAAACAAGCCTGGACAAAAAGTTTGTGAGACTCCATCTCAACCGATAGCTGGGCACAGCAGAGTGCGATCAAGAGGATTGCAATGGTAGACCTCATCTCAACGGAAAAAAGTTGGTATGGCAGCTTGCGCTCATAGTGATAGTGGAAGCCTAAAATAGGAAGACTGTAAATCAGTCCAGGACAGCCTAGGCAAAAATGAAGACCCTATCTCCAAAATACTGGAAGCCTTGGCTCCAAGCAGTACAGTGTCTGACTTGCAAGTGAAGCCCTGAGTTCAAACTGCAGAACCACCCAAAAAAAAAGGGAAAAAAAAATACTACAGCACCATCACTAACAAAAACAGACTTAAAAATATGAAAGTCAGGCTAAGGCTGTGACTCAAGTTGTAAAGTTATAGAGCACCTGCCTATCAAGGGCAAGGCTCTGAATTCAAACCCCAGTAGTGCCCAAAGCACACAAAAAAACAAAAGAAAAGACTGAGGATGTAGCTCAGTGATAGAACTTGCCTTAGGCATGCATAAGGCCCTGGGTTTGATCCCCAGCACTATAAAAAAGTAAATAAAATAAAGGTCTGGAAGGTTTGTGAACTTAGGCTGGCAAGGCCCACATCAAGGAAATTAGGTTAATGTCACTCCCTGCCTCTCCACCTCCATAGGCAGGCCGTTACCTCAGACATGGAGTACCCAGCGATCTCCACCACAGTTGCTGAGATCTTCTCTGGACTCTGTTCCAGGCTGCCATATTCCCGTACGAGGCAGCGCACATTCACAGGGTGCAGGAACATGTGTTGTCCATCCTCCGCTAAAGACAAGGGCTCTATCATATAATAGTCTTGGCTGGTCCTCAGCAGAGGCCCTTTCCCAGGTAGGCCCATCACTCCCTCCCTGATGCTGAAAGGCACAGCAACCCAACCCCCAGGACTTGGTGGAGAGGTCTCAGAGAGCCAGGTCATCCCTCTCAAACACCTAGACTTCTGCTGCAGGGCAGCGCACCTTGGTAAAAGTAGTAACAAGGAGAGCTGCTCAGGTTTGTGAAGCCTTGTTTAGTGATGGGTTCCTGCTGGGTAGACTCAATACAAAGGGTCCTGTCCCCAAGATTGTCATCTGCTAACTCTGAGTCATCACAGGCCTCTGACAATCCTTCAGGTTCCGGTTCAGACACTGCTTCCTCTTCCTCTACCAGGGGGAGAGCAAGAGGACGAGAAGAGTCCGGAGAACAAACTTCTGTGGTTTCTTCATCAAAAGCAGACAGACAGTCCTGCAAGCCCTGTTGGAACAAATGCTAGTCAACAGAAAATTATGTCCTATTTTCAAAAAGTGATGTGGCACCAGGTGCTGGTGGCTCACACCTATAATCCTTGCTGAATAGGAGGATCAAGGTTTGAAGCCAGTCCAGGCAAGTAGTTCATGAGACACTATCTTGGAAAAAAACTCATCACAAAAATGGGCTGGTAGAGTGGCTCAAGGTATAGGCCATGAATTCAAACCCCAGCACCAGAAAAAAAAAAAAAAAAAAAAAAAAAAGTGATGTGGCCAGCACCAGAAAAAAAAAAAAAAAAGTGATGTGGCAAACATAAGTTTAAGAAACTCCCTGGATGTTTATCTGAGCTTGCACATTCACTGATTTGACAAACCTGGGGAAAGAACAAATACGCACAAAGCAAACAGTCATTATCTCCTCTTCTCCCAAGAAAGTTCGGATCTCACAATAGTGCCTACCAGCTCAATAGCAGCATTTGAGGAATGTAACAGGGGCACACTAACCTTCCTGGGTTGGAAAACGGACCCCTTTGCCAAGGGAGCCATCAGCACCAGTTGTTCCAGAGCAGCCACAGCACCAGTGACCTGCCCTCTGCTTTCAGCCAGTCCTGACAGAGCCTCTTCCCGAGTCTAAGGCCATCAGAGAGAAGAAAGGAAAGACAATGACTCAGAATGGCCTCTCTTGATAGAAGAAAAAATTAACAGCCAATGAGACCCAACAGGAAGGGGTTTATTTAAGTACTTAAAATTCGCACTCTCAGAGAAACAAGTAGCAAAAAAGCACCTGGTACCCACCACAGATAAGAACTCTTCTTAGAATCACTGACTCCAGTACAAAAACTTCCTGAGTAGAAAGAAATCCAAGAACATAAAACTAACCTTCCAGTTTAAAAAAAAAAAAAAAGATGCTCAAAGAGAAGCCCAGAGTAGGTGGTCGAGATTAGCAAACCTTACCTCAACATGGACAGTTCTAATTCTATATAGCCTTTCTTCCACCCAAAATGGCATTTAAAACAAATACTGCTGTGAAACAAAGTAAGAATAAAATACATAGAACTCTGTTCAAGGAGGACCTGGGAGTCAGAGAGACAGGAATTCAAATGTCAGCCTCACCCCTGGTCAGTTGTACCCTTATGCAAGTTATTTACTCCTCGATTTCATTGCCTTACCTGTGAAAAGAACAGTTCCACCTACCACAGCAGGGTATGAATCATGGAGGTAAATGTGAGTATAGTACTGCACTTACCACAAGTCACTCAATAAACGAGGGCTCTTACTGTTCTAATCCAGACCACTATCTCTCAAAATGCAATCTGGGAATAAGCATTATCTCAACTTGTTCCAATGCACATCAGTGAATCTCCTGAACCCAGGCCTCCTCTCATGGAGAATGTCAACAACCAGTGATTCTCACAGTTGAGCATGCCCAAATGTGAGGCCCTGGGTTCAATCCCCAGCGCACGCGCACATACACACACATACCCTGTTCTGAGGCAGATGCCAGTGGTTCACACCTATAATCCTGAACCACTCGGCAGACTGAGAATGGGAGGATTGCAGTTCTAGGCCAAAAAGGCCTTATTTCAAAAATAGCAACACACACACACACACACGCACGCTTGTGGTATGGCTCAAGTGGTAGAATGCCTGCCTAGCAAGCATGAAGCCCTGAGTTCAAAGTACCACCAAAAAAAAAAAAAAAAAAAAAAGGCAAAATGAACTGAAGTTGTGGCTTAAAGGTAGAGCATCTGCTTTGCATGCACAAAGCCCTGAGTTCAAACCCCATTCCCACAAAAAAGTCCCTGTTCTGTAGGATACAAGATTTAGGGAATTCTATAGTCCTAGCTATTCGAGAGATCAGAAGAATGGCAATTTGAAGCCAATCCCGGATGTTTTTGAGACCCAATCTAGAAAAAAAAAAAAAGATTACAAAGAAAGGGCTGGCAGATGACTCAAGTGGCAAGAGCACCTTCTAGCAAGCAAGAGGCCCAGAGTACAAATCCCAGTGTTGGAAAAAAAATAAAGTAAAATAAAATTTAGGAGATTCTTTATGTGGGTAACTCTAGCTAGCTACTCCCAAGACCCTCAGCAGTTATTACTAAGGCCTTCCACAATGTCTCTTAAGTGAAACACCTCTAAAAACAAATCTAAGTATTTTCTCAGATAAGAAACAACCTACCTTAAGAACATAGCTTATTTAAGAAACTTCACTGTCACAATGAGTCATAAAATCATTTTGAGCTGTTCCTTTCAGCTCTAGAAAAGCTTGAAAAGCTTCTCTGTCAGCCTTTCCCTTCCATCACCATACAGGGTCCAGGGAGAGTGGTATTTTTAGCCGCTCCCTGCTTACCAGTTTCATTATGGGGCTGAAGTCATTTGTCCCTACCACACCCATCACATACCCTACAAGTAGAGTGGAAAGATTTAGCATCTCCAGTTTTTAGTTTCCAGTAACATCCCTCACCTTGAGCTCCTGGATAGCTGCCTCAATAAAGCAGGACTCGGGAGTGTGCTTCTCCTCTGCCAGTTGCTGCTCCAATGCTACTTTTTCTTCCAGAACTACCCGGTGCAGAACCTGCTCTTTAGAGGCCAGCAGCAACTTAGAGTACTGGCTGTGCTGTTCATCTGCAAGAAAGCCAGCAAGGACTGGAGGTGTGGCTCAAGCAGTAGAGCGTCTGCCTAGCAAGACCCAAAGCCCTAAGTTTAAACTCCAATACTGGAGGAAAAAAAAAAAAAAACCCAACAACAAAAAACTGCAACACTCAAAGCTTGGAGTGGTGTGGCTAAATAGGAACTTTTTCTCATGCAGCCTTTTGTTCCACATCTTAGGTGGAAGACGGGGTAATTTAGCATAACTTCCTGGAAAATAATCTTAAAATCTAGAACTCTGACTCTTTAATACAAAAAGTCTAAGAAAAATCAGAGATAAAAATCAAATATTTAGCTACATAATGTTTATTAAATATACAGCATTATATATAATATCAGGAAAGGTGAAAATAACCAGTAAGTTCAAATGACTACTTACACAGTATGTTTATTAAAGAGAATTTTATGGAGCTGGAGCATGGCTCAAATGGTAGAGCCATCTGTTTATCATGCACATGGCTAAGTTCAAACTCCAATATCCCCCCCCCAAAAAAAACAGTATTTCATGTTATTAAAAACCTTATGTACTATGAAAAAAGCAATTCCCAAGCTCACAAAAAAGTCTACAGTTAATATCTTGGGGTACCTTTGGGTTAAAGGATCATAGATGACTCATTTTCTTTACTTCCTTCTCCTACGTTTTCTGAGTTTTGGGGGGTTTTTTTGGCAGTGCTAGGGAACCCAGAGCCTTAAGCATGCTAGGTAAGTGCTTTACTACTAAGCTACATCCTCAGCCCTTGATTTAAGACAAGTTCTTCAGGGCTAACAGAGTGGTTTAAGTGGTAGAGTGCCTGCCTAGCAAGTATGAGGCCCTGAGTTCAAGCCTGAGTACTACCAAAAACAACAAAAAAAGTTATTCCAATGTTCAGTGAATCTTCAGAATAAACTGGCACACTGCCAAAAAATTAATAAAAAAAGAAAAAAGACAAGTTCTTCCTAGAACCAGCTTACTCAAAGGCTAAATTTTTGACACTACAAAAATACATTCAATATCCTTAGCCAGGAACCAGTGGCTCATGCCTGTAATCCTAGCTACACAGGAGGCAGAAATTGGGAGGATTGCAGTTTGAAGACAGCCCTGGCAAATAGTTCAGGAGACCATATCTCAAAAACCCTTCACAAAAAAAACAGGGCTGGTGGAGTGGGTCAAAGTGAAGGCTCTGAGTTCAAGCCCCAGTTCGGCAAAAAAAAAAAAAAAAAAAAAGATACATTAATATTCTTAAAGGGTGTACTGGGGATTATTATTTCCACTCCAAATTAATGGGACTCACCTCCTAGATGAATAGGATGATCAACATTCATCCACTTGGATTTGGGCAAGGCCACCAATACTCCTTTTTCCCTCTTCATCAGCTGCATTGTAATGGTATCACCAACAACATACTGACGTGATTCTGTGGCAACAACACTATGACAAGGACATTTAGATGAAACAGAGCAGACAGAGCTGGCAGACTAAAGTCTAACCTAGTAAATGTCTCAGTCTTACCTCTTGAGATCCTTCTTACGCACAGAACTGTAACAGATGGGACATTTACTCCAGGTTTTCTCACTCAGTGAAAGATAGTGTAGGATGCATGCCCAGCAGAAGATGTGTCCACAGCGGGTTATCTTGGCTGCAGTAGGTGGATAGAGGCATATTGGGCAAGATGGCACTTCATGGCTACAGATGCGCTGAAACAAAATGCCACCATAGTTTCATGGCTTTTAGAATTGACCATTGGTTGTCAAGTTAAAAGCCTCTCCTTTCTCATCCCCATACATTTCTACTCAACATACCTTTAATAAAACTATTTAACAATGTAGATGTAAGGCTGACAGCACTTTCAGCAAATTAAGGAAACCACAATAATTGCTTAATATAATGGGGGGGGTTCTACATTAACGGGAAAAATGATATAAATCACATGATCCCATTTACAAAGACATTTAATGAGTATGCATACAGAAAAGCGTAATTAATCTACTAATCTACGAACAATTCCCAAAAAAAGAGTTAACACTTTCACTTTATGTATGCCTATTTTTTAAGCAATGCATTTAAACTTGTTTTATAAGACTTCTATGTCATTCTCAGATGATCTTATTGGAATCCAAGCTTAATTTTTTTTTAAAAAAGTGCCCATTATTCTGAAAGTGATTCTACACAAGGTACCCTTAGGACCAGCAAGGAGATACCTAGAGTTTATAACTTTAGTGGAAAACAAATGCAGCGATGGATCTGACAGACTACAGTTGTGTGCTAATTTGATACCAATTACTACAAAGGGCTACCAACGAAGCAATGTCTGTAACTGAGCTCGCTGATAAGAAGGGTAATTAGAGTCCCTCATAGAGGCCCTGGTTACTACTTCCCTGCAGAGGGTTACCTTCAGACCAAAGCCTTCCACAATATCCCCTCCCTGTCATTTAGAGTCACAAAATGAACTCCAGGAGGTATCAGGGCCTGGCTTCTTGGAAATGTTCACCAGAAGCCAGACAGAAAAGGTTATCAGCAGTGAACAAAGTCAACACAGTCAACAACTGCTATGTCATCACTGCCCCTTTAGTTCCACCTCCAACTAACAACTTGTAAGTTCTGCTGCGCTACTCACCACTTGTTCCACAAAGTCCCAGTTAACTAAGGTGTCAGGATCAGCAAAATGAGCTGTATAGTCTTGGTCTTCAGACACCACAAATTGGCAGCTAGAAATAGCAAGAAGAGAGTGAAAATCACCAGGCCCTCGGCAGAAATTCATCATCTCTTCACTTAGAATTCAAATATAGGCTAATAACAGCCATCGTTTGTGAAACACTGTCAGGACTTCAGCCTGAGTTCTGAGCCCAGCTCTGGAAGGAATCCATTCCTTCAGTGGGTAGAAGCCAAACCCATGAACTGTTTCTTATGCTTCCAAGCATACCCAAGTTCCCTGTTGGTCTCCCTTGAACTAAATTAACACACACTATGCTCCCTTCACCAACAGTAAACAAATTTCCTCCCTTAACAGCAACATGGCTCATCCTGAAGACAATGGAAAAATGTTATCATCTGAGATCAGTTCTGCCTCCACCTTGAGTACTGAGGTTTGAACTCAGAACCTCACGTTTGCCAGGCAAGCACTCTAGCACTGGAGTCACTCAAGACCAGTTTATATAAACCACACAATCGTTACTTCAGTCTAGATCCAAGATCAAATCTTGTAATTGGTGCCACACCAAAGAGAAGCTGGGGCTGGGCACTGGTGGCCCACACCTGTAATCCTAGCTAATTGGGAGGATGAGGTCTGGGAGGATTGAGGTTCGAAGTCAGCCCAGGGAAATAGAGTCCATCTCCAAAATAACCAGAGCAAAATGGACTGGAGGTGTAGCTCAAGTGGTAGAGCACATGCTTTGCAACTGCAAAGCCCTGAGTTCAAACTCCAGTCCTGCCAATTGAACAAAGAGTGGGGAGAGCTGGACATGGTAGTATGGGCCTACAGTTCCAGCTACTTGGGAAGCTGAGGTGGGAGGACTGCTTGAGTCCCAGGAGCTCAAGGCCAGAATGAGCAACATAACAAGAACCTGTCTCAAAAAAAGAAAGGAAAAAGGGAATTAGTATTTGACAAATGTATGCCAATCACTTCAACTTGTTGCCTAGCAAGTGTGAGGCCCTGAGTTCAAATCCCAGTACCTCCAAAAACAGTAAGAAATTTCCTGGCTGGATGTAGTGGTAAATGCCTGTAATCCCAGCATTCCAGAGGTTAAGGCAAAGGATCAAGAATTTGAGGTCAGCCTGAGTTATACAGCAAGATTCATTCTCTCTTTTCTCTCTCTCTCTCTCTCTCTCTCTCTCTCTCTCTCTCACACACACACACACACACACACACACACAGAAGCCTGTAATCCCAGCACTCCAGAGGCTGAGGATCATAAGCTTGAAGCTAGCCTGAGCTACAGAGATATCCTGTCAAAAAAAAAAAAAAAGTTTTTCTTCCTCTTCTTGAGAAACTGAATCTCTAAGTGGCTAAGTAAATTACCTAAGGTCAAAAGCCAAAACAAGATTCAAACTCAGGTCCACATCCAGTTTTTCTACCTCATCACAATGCTAAAGACATTTAATAAGCACTTTTGTTTTTGGTGGTACTGGGGTTTGAACTCAAGGTTCACATTTGCCAGGCTCTACCATTTAAGTCACATGTCCAGATCTAAATATTATGTTCTTTTAAGTACCAAGAGCATATACTTGGAAGGTGAAAGAGTTAGGGGAGGGGAAAAAAAGATCAATTCCCTTTCTGCATCTCTCCCATAGTAGTTTAAAGCATTCAACTAGCTGGAGAGGTTCAATTTCACTTTCCCCCAGGAGTAGCAATACTTACTTGGCCTGTAAAAAAAGTTCCTTGTTAAAAGGCTTATGTCCCCACTTGTTCCTTTTTCCCCAGCTGCCATGTCCACTGCCTTCAAAGTGACCTGCCTGGCCACGGGGTTCAAAAGTGAAATTCAACAAGTGGTTCAGGTTGATCTTCTTAGGGCCAGAGAACTGGGCAGGGCTAAACTCTGCCCGTTGAGCCTCTGCTACCTAGAGAGAATGAAAATGTTTTACATTTAAACTCTTACCAATTTGCAGTAAAAAACAGCCCAATCCCTTCTTCAACATGGCTTTAAATAAAAACTGGCTTAGAGAATGTTCCTACAAGGGTGTAATGCCTACTCAAGACCTGGGTAGAAGTGAAAGGAAGAAAAAGAGTCTTAATATCTCACTACTTAAAACTGTTCAGTTTGCCCTGCTAAATGGTCATTAGTTAGTTATTAAATGACAAGCCTACCATGAACTCTTCTAGCCACCTTGAAGATATACTAACTGGATTAGTTTACCCACATCCCACCCCTACATCCCCCCAACCACCCAACCCCCTTTGTGGTCCTAAGGATTGAATCCAGGACTTCACACATACTAGGCAAGCACTCTTACCTTTGAGTTTAAACCCCCAGCCTACCCTTTCATTGATAGCCACTTATGTTTTGGTTTCTTTCTGGAAAAGCAAGGAATCACCCTCTGGAGGCAGCCTCCTGGCTGCTGCTAATTGCTATAGGTTTCTGAATCCTGCCAGAGGACTCCCATCTAACACACGGTGCTATTCATAAGTAAAACTAACAGAATTAGAACATGTAGGCAGACTAGCTGTGACCAGAAATAAACCCAATCAGATTCAGAAACTGTTTAGAAAGTCATAAGAAACCATGTATGAGAACCAGCACTGCACAAAAATGGAAGAAAACACGTAAGGGCCTATTTTAGTTCTCAACAATCCCAAACTGAAGTGGTACAGATATGTGTCAAAACTAGGCTAGTGTTACAAGATCATACATGTAAATAGGCTAGTGCATTTCCCTGCCCTATTTTCCTATTTAATGTTGTAAATATGGATATACCATTTTTTTTGGGGGGGGAAGGGGAGGGCGAGAGGGAGAGAGATACTGGGGTTTGAACTCAGAGCTTCACACTTCCTAGGCAGGCGTTCTACAGCTTGAGTCACCCCTCTAACTCTTTTTGCTCTGATTATTTTTGAAACAGGGTCTTGCTTTTTGCCCAGGCTAGCCTCAACTGTGATCCATTTTATGTTTTCTGCCATACTTAGGCTGACAAAGTGCATGCCACCACGCCCAGCCTTTTCTGTTGAGATGGGGTCTCAAGATCATGATCTTCCGGATGTGAGGGCGATCTGGCTGTCACATCTGTCACCCCACTGATCACCAGGGTTAATATGGCTGATCTGGCTGGCTAGGCGGGTGTCCCCTTCCTTCTTCACCACTCCATGTGCGTCCCTCCCGAAGCTGCGTGCTCGGTTGAAGAGGACGACCATCCCAATAAAGGAGGACCATTCTTTGGCCAAGAGTGTATGAGTAGCTGTGCTCCCCTGCTAGAACCTCCAAACAGACTCTCAAGATCATGATCTTCCATATCTCAGCCTCCCACGTATCTATGACAGGCCCATACCACCCTACCAACGCTGAACTTTTTGGATGTACTGGCCTCAAAACACAATCCTCCTGATCTCTGTCTTCCAAGTAGCAAGGAGGACAGGTCTCAGCAAGTATACCATAATACTTAATAATTAAGAGGTTTTTTTGTAGCTTTGTCACTGTAAAAAATGTTCTGATAAAGGATATTTGTAGCTAGATCTTTGTCCATAAATATTTGAGCACCTAAATTTTTTTTTTCCTTTTATTTTCAGTGCTGGGAATTGACCCCAGTGCTTCACACATGCTAGGCAAGTTATATACCACTGAACTACACCATCAGCCCCCAATGATCTCTTTTGAATGTACAGAAGAATAATTGGGCCAAAGGAAATGCTGTTCAATCAAATTTTAAGATTTTTGGTAAGCAGTATTTGCACATACATGCCACAAAATCTAAGGAGTGACAAACATGGTGGTGCAGCAATACACATTTGTAATCCCAGCACTTGGGAAACTGAAGCAGTAAGATTAAGTTTGAGGACAGCCTGAGCTAGATACTGCAAGACTCTGACTTTAAAAATTTACTGAATACAAAAAGATACAGTGAAAGCTACCTTTTATTCCAGAGGCACTGAACACACACTGAGACATTTTATTTATACAGAATCATGGTATACAACCTTTAGAAATAAATACAGCCCATGGATATGACAGTTTAGACAACTTCCTTTTTTTTCATCTTATCAACAGATCTTGGAGCCTGCCCCACCTTCTGGTTCTGTAAGTCATCACAGGAAGCCCAAGACTTCCGTATCACTCATCCCCTAGACTCTCATCTCTGTATGGCTCTGATCTCCCCAATCAGTCTTCTACCCCCAATTTCCCAAACTTAGATCTAAGAGCTTCTGTTTGCTAGGTAAAATTCCCTACTTTTCAAGCTTCTGTCTTCACCTTATGTTCTAGCTGGTCCACTATCACTAAGACACTACTCATCATAACTTGTGACTATTTTCCAATACACTGACCTCTTGGTTCCTTGACCTGCTCTCTTCCAATTAGTTTGTTGTCCTCCACCTTATTTCAACCATTCACTCCTATGGATGAGTCACTTTCCAGAGCTGTGCTGGGTAATACAGCACCCGCTTGGGCAGATGTAGCTACTAAGCTCATGAAATGTAGCCTATGCCACATTTTAAGTTACATTTTAGATATGTGGGGTGAACTACATTAAAACTAATTTCACACTTGGTACTTAGGAGGCTGAGATTAGGAGGATCATGGAATGGGGCCAGCCTAGACAAATAGTTCAAAAGACCCCACCTCCAAAATAACCAGAAGAAAATAGACTGGAGGTGTGACTAAAGGAGTAGAGCACCTGCTATGCAAGCAAGTAGTCTTAATTTCAAACCCCAGTCCCACCAGAAAAATTTAATTTCACTATTTTAATTTTTTTTGAGACAGAGTTCTATGTGCCCAAGCTAGAATCAAACTCCTGGACTCAAGCAATTCTCCTGTCTCAGGAATAAATGGGATTTTTTTTTTTTTCTTTCTTTTTTCCTTTGGTTGTTTTACTGCTTGAGTCACATCCGTAGCATTTTTTGCTCTGGTTATATTTGAGACAGGGTCTCGATTTTTGCCCAGCCCAGCATGAATCACAACCCTATCTTTATATTTCCTGCCATAGGTGGGATTGATTATACGTGTGAGCCACTAACACCCAGCTTGTTTTATAATTTAATATGGTAACTAGCAAATTTCAAAATCACCCATATTTCCCCCCCGCTTTTTTTTTTGAGACAGGATCCCACAATCAGGCTGGCCCTGAATTCATGATCTTCCAACCTCTGCCCTCAGTGTGGTTTCTTTTTCTATTAGACAGTACTGCTCTACAGTCAGACCATGCAATTAAAAAACACACTTCAGGGGGCTGGCCAAATGGCTCAAGAAGTAAGAGTACCTGCCTAGCAAGTGTGAGGCCCCGAGTTCAGGCACCAATGCTGCAAAACAAAAAACCACCTCTTCATTGTCTTAATTTTGATCATGCTATTGTCCAACCAGGAACTCATTCAGGTCCTAGAGTCAGTCCTGATTCTAATGATTCTTTACTTTACCCCTACCTATGGTCTCCAAACCAGTGATCCTATCTCCCAAATTTCCTTTCCTTGCTTGGGTTAGACCCTGTGGGCCACTACCCTTTTTTCTCTTAATATTCTTTGCTATCTTCACCCAGAGAAACCTCCTCCACAGCAGCCCCAAGGCAATAAAACATAGCTAAAAACCACAACTATACAACCAGTCTCAAAATAGCTCTTTGGGAACATCATGTTAAGTAAGCCAGAAAGACAAAGGCTGCATGTTTTCTCTTATATGTGGGAGACAGATCCAAAAGATAAACACATACACAGAAACAAACATGATCATATACACATCTACAAGTAGAATATGTTTGCAACATTGGAGCTACACTATGAACTTGGGGGAGGAGGGAAAGAGAATAAAGAGTTAACAATATCAAAACGCATTACAACTGTGCAGATAGAGGACATCAGGATATGCACTGAAAACTACCAAATAATGTGGGTTAGGAGGGAAGGGGTAAGGGCGAATAACAAAGGGGGTTGAACTGACCAAAGTAAAGCATATTCACTACTGAGAAACCCCTCTGAACATTGACTTTTAAATTAATAATGAAAGACATGATTATAAAATAGGTATAGTCATGGGGTACTTGTGGCAAAGGGAAGAAAGGTGAATGGAGATGAAGATGAAGATGAAGACGAAGGAATAGGTTTGATGGACTTCATATACATAAAAACAATGAAACCTCTTATAATTACTTAAAAGTGTGATGGGGAGAGGGCAGGGGGAGAGGAAGAGGGCAATCTAACCAATGTACAATGTAAGGCTATTTTGAATTGTCACACCCCCCCCACACACACACACTGTACAATATATGCTAATAAAAATGGAAAAAAAAAAAGTAGCTCCTCGAACCTGAATTGTGGCTGAAGTGGTAAAGCAGCATCTGCTTTGCTAAGTGTGAAGCCCCAAGTTCAAACCCCAGGACCATCAAAGGAAAATAAAAACAAAAAACAAAAACAAAATACACCTGCAAGTTAAATTACCTTCTCTTTTTAAATTCCCCAATGGTTTCCTAGCTCTCAAAAAGTCAAAAGTCAAAGGCTGTCAAGGCCCCACATGATCTGATCCCTCTCCTAATCTCTAGGTTCATCTTCTACCTGTCCTCCAACAATGGCAGCCTATTTGCTTTACTTCAACATACCAAAAACACTACTACCTGCAGTCCCTTGTACCTTCTATTTCTTCAGGCTAAGACACTCTAAAAACCAACTGAAGTAAGGAATGGTGGTGCATACTTATAATCCCAGCACTTGGGAGGCTGAGATAGGAAGTAGAAGACTGCAAGTTTGAGGCCAGCCTGGTCTACATAGCACATTCAAGACTACAAAGCTGCATATCAAGTCCTGTCTCAAAAAAATTTTTTTTTAATTAAAAAAAAGTATAAAGAGCTCCCTTGTTTCTCTACCTCCTCAGATAAGCATTCCTTAATAACCTTGTAAAAAACTCTCTACTCCTTGTTATTCTTTATCCCTTCTACTCTTGATCTACTTTTTTAATCCAGTAAGCAACTACCATCAGATATATATTGGTTTATTATCTCTCCAAACTAGAATATAAGCTCCTGAAGGACAGAGTAACTCAAGTGGTAGAGTGCTTGCCTAGTAAACGTGAAGCCCAGAGTTCAAACCCCAGTACCACAAAAAAAAAAAAAAAGAAAGAAAGAAAAAGAAAAACACAATGTTCTGTTTAATGCTATATTCCAAACTAATAAATGGTATTTGGTGTGTAATAATCGAGGAGTAAATTTCTGGTGAATGCCAGGTGCGGATGGCTCTCACCTGCAATCCTAACTACTCTGGTAGCAGAAATCAGGAGGATCGCAGTTTGAAGACAGCCTGGGCAAATAGCTACATGAGACCCTATCTCAAGAAAAACCCATCACAAAAATAGGGCTGGTGGAGTGGCTCAAGGTGTAGGCCCCGAGTTCAAGCCCCAGTACAAAAAAAAAATTTCTGGTGAATAAGTGAATTCTTCCACAAGTATTCTCTTAGATGTCTTATTCCTTAAATATGTCATATTCCCTTATGGATGTCTTACGGTATAATGGTTGCATATTATGGAACATTCATATGGCAGGATAATTAATTTAACTAGCCTCTTGTTTATAGGCATTTAAGTTTTTTCCTAAATTTTCCAACTACAAACATGGCAAAGAACATCTTTGTACATAAATATTTATGTACTTACAAAACAACCAAAAGAAAAACTTAGAAAAACTACTACTACAAGTAGGATATCCAAAACTAAGGATATAGATGTTTTACTATAATCTATATGGCAAAATGTCACTGACATTTTATTACTTAAATATTCTAAAGGGTACCTAAAATGCAAGGGTGGTACTGAAAGTAGTATATAAATTAAGGTACTTGAATTTGCCATAAATTCTCAACCCATGATTAGACATCACCTTCCTCCATGGAAATTTTTATAAACTTCAGGGGGAAAAAGGAGGCAAAGTTGCAGAACCTAGTAAATCCTCAAACACTCCAGACTGCTTTAGTTACCTGTTCTTCTACTTCTTGCTCTCCTCCCTCAGCTACTGATAAACTAGAGAGAGATATTAAAAAAAAATTTTTTTTAATGAACTCTCATGCTTATGTTCTAAAAAGGACATCCTCAATCAAATTACATACCTCATCTCGTCTTCCACCATTAAAAGAAGAACTAAATAGTTTGCTGCTGCCGCCGCCCCTTTGAGGAGGCATCTTGTTAAAAGTTTTGCTTTTCTGTGAATTGGAGCGACGGGAATGGTTGCTAAAATTTTCATTTTTGGGGTAGGAAGGTTCACGCTTGCGATTATAACGCTTGGATCCACTTGAGTTCTTTCCATCTGAAAGCAAGAAACACAAAACATTAGTTAAGAAATTATACATACTAGACCAATTTCTATCCATCTCCCAACAAATGGTGTTTAAATAAGTGAAAATGGGCCTTTCCACAACCTGTAAAAAATCTAGGTTTAGGCCACAGCATTGGCTTCTTGAGCAAACAACCTATAGTAAGGGGTTTTGTTTTTTTTAAAGTGATGAAGCATAAGGGGGCCTTAAGGGGGCCTTCCCTCTAAACACACACAGATCAAACCCTATGAATTCTCAATGTCTTATTTTTAGAGAATGAACACTCCTCCTGTAAAAATCCATTCAGATAAAGTAGCAGGAAAGGGAACAGTTATTCTGTATTAGGAAAAAACACTGTATCTGGAGAAGAGCCAGAACAGAAGACATTATTCCCTTTTAAATTAGCACATACAGTTGGACACCGGTGCCTCACACCTGTAATCCTAGCTACTTGGGAGGCTCAGATCAGGAGATTCAAGGTTCAAGGCCAGCCCGGGCTAATAGTTCGAGAGACCCCCATCTCCAAAATACACAGACCAAAATGGACTAGAGGTGTGGCTCAAGCAGTAGAGTGCATGCTTTGTGAACACTTGATTTGTAAGTACAAAGTCCTAAATTCAAACCCCAGTGGGAAGGAAGGAGAGAGGAGGAGGGAAAGAAAGAGAGAGAGAGAGAGAGAGAGAGAGAGAGAGAGAGAAAGCAAGCAAGCATAGATTCTGTGCTGCAAGGGACTGGTCTAGGCTTTGGCAGATATATTCAAGAGGCATAAAAGTAAAACCCAAGTTTACTTATATTCTAGAGGCCAAACTGAGAAGCTATTAAATGGACAGAACAAGAAAAATTGAGCTCTAGTAGAACATTAATCAACTGGAGTTATATCCTTTTTAAAAATGATTCTTGTTTTGGGGAACAGGCTCAGTGGTAGACCACTTGCCTCACATGTGCAAGACCCTGGATTCCCCCCACCCCAAAAAAATAAACATGCAAAAAGGTTTTTTCCCCAATTACAAATACATTCAATTTTGAAAATATGAAAGAATTGCCAGTATCCACAAAATACCAACCCCTTAATACTGTTTAATGTCCTTTTCATACACTTGTCATACATCTTACACAAAATGGCAAGCACACAAGACATACTATCTTTTTCTTATTACTTCATTAGCATTTTCATACATCCCTAGTTTTCAAAAGCAGAATTAATGGCTGCACTACTGTCTACCATACAGAAATAGTATAATATAACCAATCCCCTATTGTAGTACCTTCAGGTGGCTTTTACTTTTTGCTAGTTTAATTTAATAGTATTGGAAGCATCTTTATACTATGAATATGTCAAATTCTTGAAGTAGAGACAGTTGATGAAATACAATCATTAAACCATTTACACATTCTGTAGTTGCTTTCTAGAACCCTTATAATCAACTGACATACTCTAACAGCACTTTTTAAAGAGAAAATGTCTAATTCACTACACTCTTGCTCATACTGAGTTGAATAAACAATGTTCAACTGAAAGGTCAAAATGGTTTCTGAATTTCTCTGATAACTACTAACAAACACTTTTTCAGTCTGTTAACCATTTACATTTTGTGTAAAGAGCCTATTGATATTCTTTGCGCCATTTCTCTACCTGGGAGCTGAATTGCATGAAATTTTTTTTTTTTTTTTTTTGGCTCAAATTGAAGAACCTTGACCACTACACTCAGCACATAACAAAGTTCATCATCTTTAAAAAAAAAAAAAAAAAAAGGGCAAAACAAAACCCAAGAACCACATACAACTAAATAACTAAAAGCAAAAGAGGTCCCCAAATTACCCCATGTGTCCCACTACTACAATATGGAAACTTGATAAAGGCAAGCATGCCCACTAATTTACTGGTTTTAAAAGCAAACTTAGAATGAAAGGTAGGTGATTTTAAGACATGGTTACCCCAAAAATAAAATTGTACCAATATTAAAAAAAAAAAAAAAAAAAAAAAGACATGGCTACCCAAGTTGACCTTGAACTCCTGGACTCAAGCAATCCACCTGCCTCAACCTCCCAAGTAGCTGGAACTACAGGCATGCACCACAGTACTGGGCTGAAGTTGGAAGACTTTCCATAAAGAAATTCATTAGGCTTACTCTCAAACTTTAAAGGGATGGCTGTGATGGCTTATAAAATTAAGGGATTTGCCGGGTGCTGGTGGCTCATGCCTGTATCCTAACTACTTGGGAGGATGAGATCAGGAGGATCAAGGTTCAAGGCCAGCCCAGGCAGATAGTTCACCACATACCATCTCCAAAATAACCAAAAATGGACTGCAGGTGTGGCTCAAGCAGTAGAGCACCTGCTTTGCAAGCACAAAGCAGAGCTCAAACTCCAGTCTCACCAAGACAAAATAGGGATTCCAGCATGAGCCTCAGAAAGTACAAAGATGATTTCCCCCATTCAAACATAGCTTCACCTTTTTATATTATATATAATATAATAGAACACATAATAGAACATGCCTGGAAATAAACTAAACCAGGCTGCCAATGACAGTTACCTTAGGAAACTAGGCTGTTCACTTCCATACTATTACAATGGTTTTCGACTCTGCAGTTCATAGGACCCAGACAAGTCCTTAAAAGGATTCCCGTGGTCAGGCATCATCCTTTAAGACTAAGACTATGACTATGACTATTTCTAGGGCTGCCAGAGTGGCTCAAGTGGTAAGAGCATCTGCCTAGCAAGCATAACGCTGAGTTCAAACCTCCAGTGCCATCAAAAAAAAAAAATTTAGTAACATCAGTAGCTCATTTCACAACAGACTAAATGTAAGGAAAAGGAAATGTGAGTTAATAAACCAGTCAAAATTTTGAAAACTACCACCTCATGGGATAAAAAGAGAAATAAACCATCCTTTCCAAACCTGACCAACCACAACCTGAGAGTCAAACTAATAGTCATGTGAAATGGCAGCAGTGTAAACAGAACTGACCATCCAAGAAAACACAGCCAGGCTACATTCACTCCTACCAGTGATCAGAGTTCATCTAAAGTTGGAGTTGGGCTGGGTGCCAGTGACTCACACCTGGCAACTCAGGAGGATGGAGGTTTGAAGTCAGCCCAGGCAAACAGTTTGCAAAACCTTATCCCATAAACACCCAACATGAAACAGGTCTGGCAAAATGGTTCAAGTGTGCCTGCCCAGCAAGTGTGAGGCCCTGAGTTCAAACCTCAATGCTTGGGTGGGGAAAAAAAAAAAATCAAATAGGGGCTGAGGGTACAGCTTCTGATAAGTATTCACCCAGCATGCTCAACGCCCAGGGTTGAACACCTTGTACTGCAGGAAAAAAAAAAAATCAAATAAATGGAAAAATTCAAGAGGTAGAGCCCAACTCTTCACTACAGAAAGAAATTAAAAATCTCCATCACATTTTCCTTTTTGCCCCATTCAATATAACCTTATGAGAACAAATGAGGTTAGATAAGCACAGGTATATAAAGAAAGAAAATAGGGCTACATCTCAGTAGTAGAATGTATTCTTAGCATGTAGCAAGCTCCCGAGCTCAACTACCCAAAACTGCAAAAATAATAATAATAATAATAAAATAAAGGAATCTCTACTCCCATTCTCTGTATGGGGAGCAGGAACTGTTTCTCCCCTTTTTCCCCGGTTATACTAGATTCCTTTCCTAATAAACTTTACTGTTACTACAAAAAAAAAAAAAAAAAAAAATATATATATATATATATATATATATAGAGAGAGAGAGAGAGAGAGAGAGAGAGAGAGAGAGAGAAACAATCCCCAAACTTCATTATACTAGGTTGATCCTGCATTTGTCTCTTAACTGTTGCTTTCAAGAGAAGCAGCTCACTAAACGTGAAGCTCAGTAACAGACTGCCTGACTAGCCCATGAGACTGAGTTTGACCCTCAGCACCACAGAAAATAAGGGGCAGGGGGAGTCTTACTCAAGAGAAGTACCTTGTGGTTTGCACAGACACAAATAAAGCTGGATGCTACACTGCAAGGGCTTAAGAAAATAAAGTGGCCCTCTTGTTACCACATTTGCAAGGAAACTTTCATAAATGCTTACAGAACCACTGACAGTGAACTTCTCATCTCTGAATCAGATTACAGTAACTGACCACATAAGGATTTACGATTTTAGGTGCTAAATCAACTACTTCCTCTAGTCTTCCACTAACCTAAGAATTTGATGTCAGACCTCTTAAAGTGAGAAAGTAGCTCTTATCTCTAAACCCAGGCACAGGTACCTAAAGATTGAAAGTACTGTCTGCCTGGAACCTAGAGATAAAATTCAAAGTACTATTTTTGAGTTGTTTTGTGTACAACTTGCCAGGATATACATGTGAGTAACTTCAGGAGTGGAATTTGTTCTCTTTTTGCCAGAAACAGCAATTACACTTTATATTTTGGAAAACAACGACAAGTTCCTGGAAGAGAAACATTCTGTGATGTTTTCTTTTTTGTCTTCTCCATTTATTTTTCTTTTTTGTTCCGTTTTATGAACTTTTAAAACCTCACACGGAGGTTTCTCAATATTGGCTGCACACCAGAGTCATTTCCACAGTTTTAATATCATGAATGCCACTGGGACAGTAGGTGCCTACACTCCTGAGTCTGAAGCAAGATGATCACAAGTTCAAGGCCAGCCTGAACTACATAGCAAGACCCTGTCCCAAAAGTAATGAATGCCCAAGAGACTTACAGAATCAGAAAGAATTACCAAGAAAAGCACCCCCCCACACCCCTATTGTTTAAAAAGTCCTGAGATTCTGATGCATAGCCAGAACTGAAAACTGCCAAGAACTACTGTCAAGACAGAGTCCAAAACAGATAAGACCATTAGTTAAATGGCTCAAATCCAGAACCCAGGATCTCAAGAGTCAACAAACAAGAGACTTAAAAACTTAATCCAGTATCTTAGTTGTTCCACATTTGCTAAATGCAAAGGTCTCTGCCAAGTGGCAAACATTATCCAGTCTCCTTC